TTAGTATGACTGTACATTGTAACAACATTTATTTAAAGATGTTTTTCATATTGTTGATGTCTAAAATAATCAAACTTCTTGTAGTATGACTGTACATTGTAACAACATTTATTTAAAGATGTTTTTCATATTGTTGATGTCTAAAATAATCAAACTTCATGTAGCATGACTGTACATTGTAACAACATTTATTTAAAGATGTTTTTCATATTGTTGATGTCCAAAATAATCAAACTTCATGTAGTATGACTGTACATTGTAACAACATTTATTTAAAGATGTTTTTCATGTTGTTGATATCCAAAATAATCAAACTTCATGTAGCATGACTGTACATTGTAACAACATTTATTTTTTAAATGATGAATCTGTTTTTTACAAATGCTAAAATATGAATGTAGACTTAGACTTTATATTTGTTTTTTTCCCAAACTATTATTATTAATGATTATAGCTATTTCATTTTGAAAACATATAAAAGGTATATATTAACTGCTACAAAAGTGTTACCATTAATGTTGGTATATGTGTGAAAAATGTTTTAAGTACTCCATGTTGTGAGCTCTGACATTATTTTATAATTTCTATGACATCGTTATTATGGGTCAAATCTCATGTATTCATTTTTACAGATGTTTTGAAAAAAAAAATTCCAACAATGAAAGATGTATTCAGTTAACTGGCACTGAACAGTCTTTAGCCAAATGTGTTGTGTGTTTTTAAACCTTTTTTTTTTTAGGGTAATAAAATTTATTAATTTTATATAAACATTTATTGTTCAGGAATGTTAAAAAAATTATTTAGGGTTGATATTTTGTTATTTTCTAACATTTATTTTGTGTAATTCCTATAGAAAAAATGTCTATTATCCATTTCTTGATTTTCAAGTGTTTCCGTTGACTTTGTCTGCTTAGTTTCTGTAACTAATGATGTCACCTTGATAAAATACAGTTTTGAAAACAGCTATAAAGAAAATTTAAACATAAAAATATGATGTCCTATAACCCGAGCATTTTTGAAAGGTGGGCCTTTTTTCTTCAGTTTTCTTTGTTTGCCCTGAAGAAGAAAGGTTCACCTTTTGAAAGCACTTAGCTTATAGGATATGGTGTCTTTGTCAAACTGATTTCTTGAACCAATAACCTGATAGTAAAGTAAATAACAAGGATAGTATATTCTGTTCTCTTGTATGGCAGCTTGATAGTTGAACAAGTTATTGACAGTTAGTGCTATTAGTCAGTAGTTAATGTGTTCTACTGTTCTTAGGAAGCATACACTGTAGCTCGTCAGTTTAATCTGATACCTCCAATAGTCGAGCAGACAGAGTACCACATGTTCCAGCGGGAAAAAGTGGAGATTTCTCTTCCTGAACTTTTCCACAAAATTGGTACGTTATTCCATTTGATTAAATTCTTAGTGAATAAACAAAATCTTATATGGAGTGATTACATTTCCCAAGTGCAGCCGCCAAGTTGATAATTGGTATATATTCACTGAAGTTTAACAAAAATTAAATTTAATACTTTATTGGAAAGGGGTGATTTATAAAAAAAAAAAAAAAAA